TTATGCTTTTCTGATGGATAAATAGTTGTTGGGACTTTCACTTTTGTATAAAAAAGCGACAAATACCTTGTAAAAATAAAGTTCTCGGGTAGATTCTGGTAATGAGTTTATAAACAGGAGCGCCGTGTGCTTGTGCAGGGCTTACAAACAGCTTCCTCCTCCCCAGGCACACGCTTGCCCTTGAATTCAGGAGGACAGAACGAGGAAAATTTAAGAATCCAATTAAGTTTATTGGTATTTCAGTCTGTAAATAAGACATCTATGTTCAATTATAAAAATAGATTAAAAAAATTATAAAAAATGGTACATTAATTAAGAATTAAATCACCACTACGTAATAGCTGTTAAAACTAGCTTGCAAGCCTAGTCTTTTCAGAAGCGTCCCAGCTGTCTTCCTAGTAAGTTTGGTAGGCTGGTAACGCTTCAAAATATTTATGATTCTGTAGCTAAAAGCAAGTAGAAACCAGTTGAAATTAGCCAGCAGCTGCAGAGGTGTCTTTGGGTGAGCCTCAGCGAAGCCCAGGTTTCAGCCGGGTGCAGAGCAGACCTGGAAGATGAAAGAAAGAGCCGGGGTGTAAGTGGTCTGTACGGCGTTGCTTCTGTTTCTCATTTGTGTCGCTTCAGCCCGCGGGCGCGTTCTTAGAAGAGAAATCCAGAAACGGTTAAGGCTGTGGTAATACCATGTAAACAAGTGCTGCTTCAGAGCCTGCGCTTCCTGCGGGCCTGCCGTCCCCCCCTCTGCCTAGGATCAGAAGGCTGAGAGAGAGCAAGAACAAGAGCTATTTGATGTCTGAAAAACAGGATCTCCATGAGCTTTAGACATGGTTCACGTTCAGCAGTAAATCACTTAGCTCTTGTTTTGGGGCACGTCTAAGATCCTGCCCCTTCTCCTTTCCGGGAAGGAGGCGGCAGGTTTGTGCCAGAGGGTATTTACTGTGAATTGCACAGAGTGTGTACGGGGTGGGCGGCTGCAGCAAAACAGGAAGGTGCTGCCTGGCTGCCAGTAGGACATCGCTGGTGGGAAGGCTAAATCGTGGTTTCGACGCTCTCGTGTAGTTAGTTTGTGCTTCCTCAGGGGCGCTTCAGGACGGGATTAAGAGCGAGACAGCAAACTCCCCTGGAGCTGGGGGAGCCACCTAGAATTAAGCCACTGGTGTTCTAAAATTTGAAATTAAGAGATGTAAATGACCTCAGAAATAAAAATAAACTTTCTACTTTGGCTGGTTTTGCATTAGAGGACTAAAGGGTTTTGTTGGTTTTTTTTCTTAGTTGATAAGGCAATTAGGGCTGAGTTAAAATAAGAGAATTTATGAAGCTGCAGTTCATTAAAGAATCAATTAAAACTAATAACGTGGTACTTCTTCCCCTAAAGTACATGCACCAACACCAACCGCTACGGTTGTGTCTGCAACCAGGGCAAGGAAAAATGAACTACAGCCACCAGAAGCCTTGGGGCTTCAGTTTCTTGTGGGTGACTGGTTAGTGACAGCCAGGAGAAACCTACTCCTCTGCGTACGGCCAGCATTGGAGTACAGGCCGAGATTAAACAGGCAAAAAAACCCCTTGAACGCTCAGCTCCTGAAGAAGTCCCCTGGCAATTGTTGCTGTTGTGGCTGGCCTGCATCATCCCCAGCCAGCCCCTTCCTCTGCCATGCAGCCGCCCTTGGTGGCCCAGTTGACAGCCTGGCACATTGGCCCACTGCTTTCCCCCGATCACTGAAGTGACCGTCTCCAGCTGTACCCCGTTCTTCTTTTTAAGCCTCCCCCTTTCCCGACAGTAGCCTTTTGTACCACTAAACTCCAAAACATTTCTACCCTGGAAAAGACATACTGTCACATATGCCTCTAACTGTAAACCTGTCATTTTCATCTTCTTGTCACCTACAGCCACAAAAAACATTTCATTAGCCCTGCCTGTATGCACGTAAACCAGTTTGGTGCCAACACTTGCACCCCAGAGCCTAACGTGCAGGTAATGAGTTGGTCACTGGATAGTCAGGAGCCTTCTAGTCTTAAAGTTTCTCTTCCTCCCAGCAGTACCTTGATAGTCAGTGAGCAGAGCTCTGCAGCACAAATTGCTCAGGTTCTTCCCAACATTCTCTCCCCTCAGTGGCATCTGTTTCAACTGGGTGGTTGGGTGTTCTTAGAAGGTTTTGTAGGAGCAGAACCATGGATCTCTAAGTAGTTTAATTGCTGTTAACTATACTTGTAATAGAGGGGAGGGGAGCCCCTAGCTTCTTGTCTGGTTAGAAAGCACTTGAATGCCTCAATCCTGGCACTTGAGTGCCTCATTTCCTCATCCTGGAAATGATCCACTGCTGCAAAACCCAAGGTGGAGCTTGCAGGAGGGCCAAGCTTAGCTCCCGAGCTGCTCCCCGGCTTTGTCCCCTGGCCAGACACTGCACAGGAGTTACGGGCCTCCTGCAGCTGCACATTCACAAAATCTGAACAGCTAAATCCTAGGTGATGCAGCACTTGAAGTGTTATGTCAGGGCAGTGAGACATCAAGCAGAGGTCTATCTGTATCTGCTCCTGTCATAGTATAACTCATCTTTTCTGACTAAACCCCATCTAAGGAGTAATGAAGACTTTCCTTTCACCTGCTTTAAAAAAAAAACAACCAACCAAACAAGAAAACCAACAACCAATCCCTGCCTGTGGAATGTCACTGGCTGTAACAAACAGCTGGCAGAGGCACTATTTTTGTGCATTTCGACTACACTAAAAAAAAAAGCTCTCCCCTCAATAACCTCAGAAGTCTTCAGTTCTCCTGAAGAACAGTTAAGGGCCGTGTAAGGATCAGCCTCAATCACTTCTGACATCAGAGATGGATGAGCTACTTGTTCTCCGGACATAAAGCTTGCCTTCTGTAACATGAAAAACAAAAAAAAGGCAGCAAATTGGGCGCTTGGGAGCATGTCAAGCACTGCATTTGCTGCTGGGACCTCACTGGAAATTCATGCTGATGTAAGAAAACAAAGAAAACCACCACTTGGGAACAGCTGTAATTCTGACAGTACCTCCCACTGAGCAACTAGAGGGGCGAGGATGGGAATATAGTCACGGGTGAGTATATTTTAACTTCTGTTTAGAAGAAAGGCGGTCTGTTCACATCTTTAATGAGGGCGGAGAGAGCTTTAATGGCTCAGCGAGGGTTCCTGCCAAGGAAGGGCTGGCTGGCAGGAGGTCCTCAGGGCGGAAGGCAGAGCGGCAGCGTAGGGCGACAGCCCGCGCTGGAGGTAATCCCCAGGGTGCGGATGCTGTCGGTCTGCGCTCTCGCTGGCGCAGCTGGCCAGCAACCCCTTCCGGCAGCCGGGCTCTGCGAGGGGAGTAGCAACGGGGACAAATACTTATTTCTGTCAAGCTGATGGACGCCAGGGCCGATCCTGCAAGCGAGGAGCATCTCAGCCTTCAGCAACACACTTGGAGGGGTGGGCACTGCTGAGGTTTCTAGTAATCTCAGTTCAGATGTTTGCTGTACTATGCATGTTTGTACTTAGTACCTATAGAGGAGGGGAGCTGAGTACCTCTTATCCTTCTGACCTCCAGCGAGTTGCTATGTGAGAGAGACTTTCAAAGGTAGAAACTCAAAACTTGAATTGTTCAAAAACTTTCAAAACGAGATGTAAATCCCATAATTAAACTTTTTTACGTGGACCTGAATATGTTACGCTGTATACCATTATTAAATATTAGTGCCAGCTATTAAATATTAGCGTAATGGCCTGATACACAGCCTATGCTGTAAGGTCAGGCCACATTATCATACTGGTCCTTTTTAGCCCTATGAAAATGAAAATTGCAGCGTGAGCATCTGCGTCATGTTGTAGGCAGGTGGCTATTCTGAAATACTACTGAGCTTCTGTCAGTCATAGATTTAATATTATTATTTTAAAAGCATGTAATTCACTGATGAGAACAAGAAGGATGTCTTTGAAAACTGTGGTACTCGTCTTGGTTAATCCTTCAACAAGGATGCTAAAAGCCTTTTAACTCGCGTTGCCTGTGAGGCAATTCAGCATGTAGCTGATCAGGTACTTCTTTTATGATAACTTTTTTTCATTCACTTTAAAACTCAGAATTTTCCTTACAGTGTAGAATGAGTTTCCCATGAAAATGAGACTCTCCGCACACCAGAATGTAGCTGGATTTAAAGACATTTCTTTCTTTCTCTCTTTCTTTCTTTCTCCCTTTCTTTCTCCCTTTCTCCCCTGCCCCATACAGCAAGCACTAACACCAGAATTAAAAAATGCAGTGGAAATAACCTGAGTTTTGAAAACAAATCCTATGAAGGTTATAGGTTGTCAGTGGGTGGTTTTTGTTTTGTTTTGTTGTTTTGTTTTTTGTCTAGGTCAGCTAAATGAAAATAAATGATGCAACTTTAAAATCTGGGACTTTCAAATTAAAGTGAGGTAACTCTTACAAGGCAATAGGAACAGCTGTAACTATGTAGCAGAACTGTAACTCCAACAGCACTGCTCCAAATACAATTATTTATATAATGTTTCTTTCAACATGACACTAAGTTTTATGATTTTTTTACAAAACGAATTGTAGCCTTGCTGAAGAAAGAGAGCATTCTGCTTCCTCAGAAGGCAAATACTACTGGAAGTGACAAAAGCTAACCAATTCGAAATCCAAAGACAAACACCCAGTGATTATCCAGACCAAAAAGTGTCTATGGTAAAATCTGAGTTCTCTAGAAGTTCCCACCTTTCCCTCCAATTTAAAAGTTTAGTGTTTTTTGGTTTTGTTTTTAATTCTGTCAGGTAAACCTGTCTTTCTGTGGAGTTCTTGTCCTAAAGATTTAAATGCTTAAAAAAACCCCAAAACCAAACATAAAAAGCTCCAACAATTTCAAACCCAAAAATGTTTCAAACACTTCCTTCTCCCTTTTGTCTTGAAGTGTTTGCCAGATTCAACCCACATCTGCAAATAGTTTTAGCCCTCCTTTCCTCTCCCTCCCCTCTCTATATATAGGATATAGAAAAAATACCTACTTCTGCTCATTTCTCTTCATCCATCCAGGTTTTTACTTGATTCCATCTGTGTCCTGTTTGAGATCTGCATCCCATTTTTTTTCCTGAAATGTGGAACTGCAGTTACTAGCAGCTTATGTTCCAAGATACAATAGCACATTTACATTAGTGGATTTTACTTCATTTTTAAAAGATTTAAGTATGACTGGTTTCCCCCCACCAAGAAAAAAAAAACACCAAAACACACAAAAAAACCCATAAAGGAGAACTGCTCAACAATATAGTAAAATGTGGAATATGATGCCACTTTCTCCTTTGATCAACACCAATTCTGCAATTGATTTCTTTTTGAAAGTACATTTCTACACTAACTACATCTTTCTGTAGCTAAAAGCTCCCATTTAGGGTGAACTGTTCTTCAGTTTTCTTAAAACAATTGTCTTGATATTCCAGGCAGCTCTCTTGGGCTGAATTCCAATTCCCAGAGAACCACCATTGCCTTAATAGCTGCAAATAGATTTTTAGGACTCATTTTGTAATAATTTTTTCACATCATTCTTCTCTTCTGAGTGTTCTCAAGTTGAAAAGTGTCCTCTGGAGCACAATTAACTTGCAATGAACATAAAGAAGGAAGCTTTTGCTAGTCAAGTCTCGATAGCAGTACAATATCTGAATTTTTTTTTCCTCTTTTGTATGTTTTTTTTTACCCAACTTCATGAAAGCATGCTTGCTTCCAGATAAAATCGATTATCAGTAACAAAATCCCTATGGACCGTGTAAAGTCTGTTCACATTATCAAGAGTGCTTCCCTTAAAAAAGAAATTTTAATTTTCTTTTCTGAACAACCACCTACTTAAACTATCTTATAGAAAGAACACTGTGGTTGCCCTGAAGTTTGCCAGTAGTTACTACATCCTGATAACCTTACACTGTCTTAAGCCACCAAGTTTGTCTGCTACAACAGGAAACCCTGTAAAACCAAACACACTGACATGATTAAAGGCATAACAAAGTATGGATTTTATTCTCCTAGGTTGAACACGTACTAAATTCTACAGCTAAGAAGCCTACAAAAAATAGTATGATTTAAATATTTTGAGGTGCTAAGACGATTCATGTTCTCTTTACTGCTAGGTGTGCTACTGGACTAAATTTCCTACACTGAATGTCTTTTGCTACCTTAGTAACAGAACTCCAGTTATCCTGGGCAAACTCACTAGTTTGCAAGTTAGAAAGCATCATGAGATGGTTGGATTAGTTCATTTACTTAGTCACAAAACAAGGGTTTGATTATTTGATAGTTTTAATGAAAACCTCACTGTGCTTATTAGTTCTCCTCCTCCTTTTTCTGAAATAAGAAAGGAAAAAAACCCAAACAAACCATGTAGCCCTTGCCCTTATTTCCAAAGCACTGACTGACTGAAGAACAATGGTGAAAAAAAAAAAGAAAAAACAACAGTCCATGAGAAGCCACAGCTTCCTAGAGACCACTGGAAGCGAGAGTCAGTCCTGCTGAGATGCAGTGCAGTGGTTAGTGCTCAGCCGGACTGATTCCACGTTTGCCGTCTCACGTTTGGGTGATAGGTCATGGAGCAGTAAGAAAGATAAATGTCTTTCAAAAATAAGAGGGGAAAAAAAGTCACAAACTGGTAGGAGGACTTAAGTCTGACAAATGTCAGCAAAAAGTTCAAAGAAATTATCAACATCAAGCTACTGTTTAAACGTTAATGCTGTTAAAGAACAGATTACCCTTTTCTCTGAAGAAGGAACACAAAATCTTCTGATAAGAAGGCTAGGAACTGTCACAAAGAATAACTTCTGCTGTTTTTTTGTTGCTTCAAAACATTTTCTTCATTTAGTTTAGGTTTAAGTGTGACTCAGGTTCAGCTATGAGTCTCTTTGCAATTGCATGGATTTTTATTTTATTTTTTTCATAAGGTAACGCCTCATTTAAAACAACAACAGCTACAAAGTCCAACAGCTGAACTGACACTGCTGGTAGATTTCTCTGCTAAAGCTGCAGAATATTCCCCTCAGACTTCCTTTTCTTTTGGCACGGTACCTGTGTTCGCAGAAACTGCACCTCTTCTGTCAGCAGCTGCTTCTCTTTGAAGAGCTGATTCTGTTTGTTGAGCAACTCCACTAACTGCTGGGCAGTGGCCTGGCAGTGCTTGTCAAGCTGCTGTAACCTGGAAAAAATTAGATAAAAGGGTTGCAGAGCATCTGAAGTTGGAGTTCATGGTAGAAGCTTTGATGTCTGCACTGGTGGGTGCAGCTCCCAGATGACAGAGCTCAGTCTGGTGGACGGGCTGAGATTAAAGTGTTACTCCTAGGATGGGCATTCCACATATTTTATCTTCACACTTTAAATGAGCACTTTTAAAGGTTTGCCCTTCTAATTCAGAAGCCTTATTACGACGTGACAGCAAATTTGCTTTGCCATTAAGTGACATCAGTAGAGACTGCAGGACTGAGTCCTGATACCTGTGGCTAAGCAAGCGGCACGCTCTGTAGCTGCTTCAATAACTGTCTTCCTGGATCACACATGCTGGCTCAGATTCTAAATCCAAATACCCCAATGCCTTGACAAACTGGACCTGAAGTGACAAAAACTTCTGGTTTTTGTCCATTGCTCTTTGCAACCTGGCCAATCTCCAAAACTCATTACAGAACGCAACATTTATTTCAAGAAAGCTCAGTGTTAATTAAGCACATCAGCATAGATCCCTTAACAGTGTAACAGGGATTCCTGGGGAAGGATGTGAAGAGCCCGTCACTCCAAAGTCCTTCTCATCAGGGGCTGCAAAACAGAGGGAACATGCTGGGAGGTATCAGAAGGAGCACACAGAGGCCTTTTGCTTACACTTGAAAAACAAGTGCCCGAGTTGGGACAACACTGCTATAGACGGGGCAACCACACCTTTACTTCTTTAATCAGAAAAGCTGGTGTGGCTGGTTATGTTCTCACTCACTGTTTATTACTCCGGCCATGAAAAGTTTAAAAAGTCTGCTTAGGATCTCTAGCAAGGGACGCAAACACAAATAAGCCGGAAATTGTGTTTTTACATTAAATGCATTTCACTCTTTAAATGGAAATGTCTTTAATCAGAAGTTAGTTCAGATACCTTAGAAGCTTCTTGTCTTTAAGTAAGAGTGGTCTAGAGACAAACCTACACATCTAAACACTGTGCACTTAGGGAGCACCAACCGACTCTGCTTTTGTCAAGGTTAGTTCTGGATCTGAACTTTGCACTTGCTTTTGTAAACTATTTCTTGCTCAACAAACTGAATTACAGCTCCAGCTGAACAAGGTTTTTAGGTTGTCTCTCTCATACAGGTTGTGTTTTTAATGGAATTAGTAATACGCTTACAGTAAGACGCGATTTTCCACTTTCAGCTCCATGTGGTAGTTGTGACTTGTACAGCTGCCATAACTCAGCTAAGCTAATCACTCTGAATATCCACGTTCTTAATCAAGATTGTTCAAATAACTGCATTAGTAAACACTTCAGAATTTCTTGACAAAAAGCTAGGAAAATCTAGCTGAAACAAAATTGCTGAAATCTATGTCAAAACCAGTATTTACTGATCTGTATCTGCCAGCCAACATTTTTGAAATCAAACTGCATGAATCATGTAGCAAACACCGAATGCCTGTTTTTCAGTGTCCTGTTACTCTGCTAATGTATCCTTGCAAAAGGGATTTGAGGAGCTGCAGGACCATCTCCTGGGGATCGGAACAAAACTAAATGCAGCTAGCTGCAAACAGCGACAGCTGGTTGTAAATGTCCAATGAAGCAAGCAAAACTACCACTTTCATAGCACAGGGTATTCTACTAAATACACACTTAGATGCTCTGTGTCTAATTTCACGCTCCTTATACCTTCCAAACTATACCATGTTGGTACAGGAGCTGTTTATGCTTCATTTCTTTACTAAAGCTGGTTTCAGGGGCGTTGAACTTCAAAAAAACGAAACAAAACTCTGCCACGCAAACAAAAACTCGCCCTTGTACTGTTGTTTTGTTTTTAAATAAAGTAGCTTTTCCACCAGCCTTTTGCTCCCAGGGAGTGCAAGAACAACCCTATTGCTTGCTGGAGGCAACGTCGTAGTTTCAGACTGGAGAGCCGCATGGTGCTCGCTACTTTGCCATTGATTTCCTTTAACTTGTGGAGGAGATGTGACCTTACTGCACCTTTTGACTTGTAATAAAGATATCTTCCAGGCCTTTATTCCTAGAGTACTTATTACTTTATAGCAGTTCTGGTAGGGAGATGTAACTGGAACGTGCTGTCTTCAGACAGCCGAGGGAAGAACTCCAGTGCTGCTTTAAGGCTATGAAATCCTTCTCATGCACGAGAGTCCGACTCAACAGCTACCAACTACAGTCTGGATTCAGGCCCTTAGAATTTAAGTTTCTGCTGATTTCTATATTCAATTAATAATTTTTCACATTCTGCTAGTGTTTTGGTCTGTTTTAAGAACAATCATATAGTCTTTGAGAGACCTTTTTGCACAAAATCATTATTACTGGCAGCTAAAGACCCGGGTAAGTAGATAAACCCCTTGACTCACGTCTCTGCAGCAACAGGATGAGCATTGCCAGTTGCTGCGGTAGGGCTTGTTCTGGCTGCAAGAGCAAACGCCGCTGATGCAGCCCCAAGGAGAGGCCCTTCCCCGGTGTGCCACTGCTCTCACGGTGAGAAGGCTCCAGCTGAAGAGCCACCACTTCAGTGCGAGGAACTTCCTCCAGTTCTGGCACCCAGAGAGAAGTAATTTCCAGCTCATGTGAGTTTTACATCAAAACACCGCTTTCTACTAGATACTCAGCCCATGCGAATTTCAAAAACATCACTGGGTACAAGCCTTAGTGAGCTCTATTGTAAAGCTCTATATCCTTTCAGATCCTGCAAAGGGTGATTCAGGTAAGCTACTGTAAATAGCAAAGTCTTTAATTATGGCAATACTACTCAATTATGCTCTTCTGTTTTGTAACTTCACTACTCACTGTGTTACACTTAGACTGTCCCCTTGAGCAGAAGGGGAAAGATAACACAGACACTAAGCTGGGCTTGACTAGCAGGCCACAACTTTACTTTTATCATCTGTGTCTATCTCCAGTGCTTGAGTACAGGGTTAATAACATTCCTTTCTACAATGCTGGGTCATGATGGATTAAACAGGGAGTAGTTCTAGTCAGTGCAGATCTCGGTTCATGAATTCCCAAATTCTGTCTACCAGTCTGCTCTACAAAAACTGCTGCCAAGCTGGCCCTTGGTCCACACACTGGGACTACCAGCCTGCTCTGGTGCATTTAGCTCCTGAGGACAGGCTCTGGGCCCTCTCACAGTATCTGCTATTACGTGTGACATGTGCAGCACAGCCACACATTCCCATATGCATTGTATCTGGCCTGCCTGCTGATCTCGTAAATGATTCAAGATGAGAAATGAACAGCTCCACCCACATTCACTGTACTTCCCATATGTTACAACTGCACATCGATGCCTGCCATCGTTTTTACAACTGGGTGACAGAACCTTCTGCACGTTTTGCTAATACGAGTGACTGAGGTTGCATGGTCGCCACGTTCACTTTGGCAACACCACCTACCAGGCAAATGTGTACCGCGTCCTGAGCATCTGAGTGACCACCATATCCTCACCCTCCATTCCAAATGACATCATTTTTCCAAAGTGGATGTTGGGCAGCTGCTCCTCCTTTGCCTGGGAGTGCTGAAGGCCAGGAACTGACTCCACGCTCTGTCATGTTACTTCAAGGCACAAGGTGAAGACATATAGCTCTTGAACCATGTTGCATTCGGACTACTTTCAGGACAATGTGGCACTAAGGAGTAAGCTCCCATTTAGTAATAATCTACCCTTAACATAATTTTCCATTAATCACTCTAAACCAAAATTCCTTTTCTATATAGAGGCAGGTAAGAGGCAGCTTTGAGAGGCAAGTGGTTCCACAGAAGGAGAACAAAACCGAGGTATCACAAGCTGTAATGAATGCTTCAAGGTAAACCTTTTGTTCTGATCCTCAGTACTTGGAGCCTGTATGTAGCTTTATGTTAGAAGGGCTCCAAGATACTTTGTGCAGCTACAACCTGCAGAAGACTACATATCTCACTCCAAATAGCAGTACAGTTTGGATCTGAGACCAGGCTATGCCATAAATGAAAAGGGATAGATAGGTTTTGTTACGTTTTGACTACTATGGGTAGACGACCACTGCAAGACCCTGCAGAAATTATGTGAAACATCAAACATAAAGCAGAGCTTTGACACCAACATGAATTCCACCCAGCAGAATAAACTTCCATTGCATCCAGCACCACAAAGCTGGACTAGCACCCACCATGTTACATTTAGATCGTCCCCTTGTCTGCGGCCTACAGACAAAATCAAAAGCTTCCTCCTTTTCTGCAAAGACACATTGCTAACGCAGGGGCACCTGCAAGGCTCCTGCTGCAAGCTCCCTGCCCTGAGGGACTCACAGCTCCATTAATCCACAGGTAACTAGGAGCAGGGAAGGGAAAAGCTGATACAACCTGTCAGCCCTCCTCTGGGTTTTAAAGCTGATGTGAAACAAATTAACATGCAAGGATCTGTGGGCAGTGTCCATCCGCCCAGCAGCGGGGATCAGCCCGTGACCTAGCAGAGGCATTAAAAGGTTATTTACTCTTTCAGCACAGTCAGGCTACTGATGTAAAATGTTTTCACTCTACTCCGCGGAGCTGAATTTGCTGGAACGGTGTGATTAGATTGCCGCAACCTGCAGCAGCTAAATCACCAAATCCAATAACCACGCTGCATTTACTGGCACACATCTTAATTAGGTTTTAATACAAGTAATCTGATAACTACTTCTGGCCAGCCAGAGCGGAGCTGTCAGAGCTGAAAGGGCTGTTATTGAGCGGCTCCCCCCGGCCCCGGCGCGGGAGTGCGCGCGC